CGTGTATGTTGAGACCTACTGCTGCAGAGGCTGCTGCTACACTGGTCGTCTTCTCTTGCATTTGTTGTTGCGTGTGCGATAGAAGAGCCAGGTCATCTGCGAAGTCTAGATCATCCAGCTGCGTCCTAACTGTCCAGTTAATACCGTGCTTCCCTCCAGATGTTGACGTTTTCATAATCCAGTCGATGACCAGGAATTTATATATATATATATATATATATATATTGTATATAAATATACATTCAGTAGATAATAATCAACTCACTTTTCTATAGATGTTAAATCCTTGGAACCTGTAGAACCACCACAAGCATAAACAATATCTGGAAAATCAATAGATGATGATTGTAAATAACTAGACACTACAGCTAATCGACCACGTTGTTTTGTAAGTCGTGGACCAATAATTGGAGTAGATATTGGTGAATCTTCATCATTGCATAATTCAGATTGTGAATTATTATTTTCAATAAATAATTCCACACAATCTAAACAACCTTTACGATTATAACCGCCAATAATTAAAATGTAATACTTTGAATCATAATTCAATTGTCCAATTCCAAAACTTGATCGAGCTTCTAACATATGTAATGGAGAATTTTGACCTGTATTATCATGATGATTAATACAAAGGATTTCAGTTTGATAAATTTGATCACTGAATGATTGACAACGTGAAGAGGATTTAATCATAGCTCGTGCTAAGTTTAAAGCAGAATCAGCAGTGACTGTACGACTTATTTCATCTAATATTAAGGATGAGAAAACATGAAATAATTGAGTAACATAAATAACAAAGAAATAAGAACATAGGTTTTTATTAACAGACCTACACAAATAATCCAGTCAGCTACAACGTAGAACTTCGTATGTATGGACATCAGTTGAGGTTACCACCATACCTCATTAACACAGGAATGTAATCGTCAATTCAAATACCACCGTAATGGTAGATGTAGTAGAGGTATTAGTGGTAATCGGAAAAATTAGGGGTTGAAAAGTATACAGTGAAATGAAGAATTCAGAAGATTAGAATTTGAGATAAGAAAAAGAATGGACACGTCCGCGCCATTGCAAACGATTTTAAGCCATGTCATTCAAAGTCTCTAACCATCGGTCACTAATGTCTTGTGGACCCTAACCAGGTAGTTTACATACACTAACATGGATCTATTCAGTTGTAAGTGACTTCAAGGATTATGATATGGTTTATTTGACAGCCCTCAGCTTTCTTTCAGCTGACCCCTACACCACATAGCATAGCTCGTCAAGGCAGTCGGGGGTTGGACATATGTCCTAAAGATCCCAACTGCTAAAGATTTGACCTGCCATCCTCAACCAGTACCTTTTCCTAAACCTAAGCTTTTCTTACTCGATGGTCTCAGGATATACGAGTAATGCTTCGAAGACACCTATGATCGAATACCAGTAAACTACTAATATCCTCTATTCTGAGTGGTTATGTTTCACATCCATATAATCGGACGGGATGAACTGCTGCGCAACACGCTCAACTACTTTATGCCCCATCATTAGTTTGGGTGCCGATGCAAGCCAATTCTGCAGCAACAACTTGCATTTCGAGGGGTTGGAATCGCATCTCCTGGTAGAAGGTCAACTCCTGAAACGTCAGACGAAGAAAGTGTCGTATATCAAAGCATGTTGATGTCAAAGTTGGCACTGACGCAGAACCTGACGAGTAACATGGTTAAACATCGAAATAAGGTAAAGGTATACAACAGTTATCGGATGTCCAAATGTCTGTACATGTTCAATGGACCCGACGAAAAGTGAATACGTAGCTTATACATCCACGTCCAGGTCTGAAACCAGACGGGTTCTCTAGAGTCTGCTCTTCACGAGCTCTAGTTAGGTGTCGGAGTATTATCGAGGCCAATATGTTAGATACTAAATTATTTAAACATTCCTTTGTGATGGTGGCAAGAGGAATTTTGTCCTTTCTCATAGACCAGGACAATCAGTGATTGAGACTAGTTGAATGGGATTGTGCCGAGTTCCGGAATTCTACTTAAGTTCTCAGTCACTGAAACTGCCGATACTGAACCATCATCCTTAAAAATATGAGGGGTTTATCTATAAGGGCCAGCTGCTCTACCGAGCCTTAGATTGTCTATTGCTGTTTCAACCGCATTAACAGTTGGAGAACTTACATCAACCTGCGATTCAGGTTGACTGGAGATCAAGGTTTACCGAAGTGTAGCTAAAAGACGAATGAAATGATCCCTAAAGTGTTCTGCCCACCGATCCAATCTTCTAGACTGAGAATGAATGACAGTCCCATCTTTCTCCGAGATAGTCTCACTGACAGTCGGATTTCTAAAACCAGTTTCCATGATAAGTTTGAACAACTGTCTAATGTTACCTGTCGCCACTGTCTTTCCCATCTCTCTTGCTTTCGCTAACCACCACTGTTCACCATCATTGAGTAGGCTTTTTATCATCCCGGGCTGACTCTGCTCCTCATCATGTTCAAAGCCTGATAGGATGAGTTTCCGGGCCTCCTTTGGTTCGCTAGATGCTAATGAAATCCATTGTTTCTCCTTAACCTTATATTTTAACGTACTGACAGATATCAATGATGTTTCCACGGCATTTCGGATATAATTCGAAGTTGCATCGGGATAGAAAATTACTTACATGGTTGCGAAAATGCTTTTAGAGTTGCTTCTGAAATAAACTCATGGCTTTGTTGTCGTTGTGTAGAACTCTAAGGTAAGACGCAGACAAATACGCGCTCGTACTGGGGTATGATGTGAATCTAAACAAGTGCTCTGGAATAAGTGGCAGTCTTCAGTGAAGACTTTCTACCGGTGACTGATAGCGATGGGGTCTGTTTGGGTTCATTGTTGCGTAGATTTGGGGCATCGCCATGTCACAAACGTTTAGTAATTGCCAGGGATAGGCGATTGATTGAACATTGTTGCAGCAGACGTTCGCTATTATCCGTTATTTGAGCCGCGACACCATAAGGTGTTTCTCAGTTTCACCTAGTCTACCTACTTGAGCATTGAAGTAACGAGTCACTATTACCATACCAAGGCGCTTAACTTTTTGAAAAAGATTAGAAAGCTTTCTGTAAAACCCATATTTTTCCTCGACCGAGCTGCAATCAATGGGAGCGTATGGAGAGACGACCAAGAGGGAACGGCGAATTTCTCTATCTTTACGAATTCTCACTGTCTCGTTTAGTCGGACAGAGCACAAGTACCTATCAACTGGAATACAGTTGAAGAAAGCTACTTTATTCCTACGACCTAATGTCAAACCTACACTAGTGAGGCTATAAGAAGCAGCAGCAGAACTCCCGGATACATGGAGAGTAAACCAAGTTCGTTCGTTACCTGGACAAGGTGAAGTCAAATGAATGATTCTACTCGGATCTTGTATACGCATTTTGGAGAAACACCACACATCAATGGCTGGAGACTCTAGGGTCCTCTAGCTAAGGTGGCCTGTTGTCCTGTGTGGTACAATGTCCGAGCATTAAAAGCTCCAACATGTGGGGTTAGTTAGGGCGTGGTTTCAGGAGACACAGGAATAACGTTTCGCATACTGGAATTGTTTGCATCAACTGTGTGAACGCACCTACATGAATGCATCCATATATACCACCACCTAAGTATGCAACTAATGTTTCATAAGAGAGAAAGAAATCACTCTTCTAAAATATCAAAACATAATGATTTTTTTTTTCGTATCAGTAAAAATTACAAAATTCTATCATCTTATGCTTTTGAAAAGAAATAAATTAAATTATTTAACAAAATGAACAATATGAACTTTAAAAACCTTAACACGGTTACTATGAACAACAATATTCTTGCATTTTATTATAACGAATGATTGATTAAGTTTGTTGTACATCAAATATAAAGATTGGAAGAAATTTCAGATGTATAAAAAAAAATTTTAGGCGTAAAATAAAATACATTTATTTGAATAAAGAAATATTTTTAAATTTATTATATATACTTAAAGTACCTACAATAATGGGATGGTCTATTAGGAATATATGGGTAGTTGGAAATTCTTAATGTTTATTTACACTGTAGAAGGACATTTTCCCCTAAGGAAGTTAATAAAACAGTTGGATTACACAATCAACACCTATGTCAATCGGAGGTATGACCGTAAAGACCAACCCTCTTGAAATTAATAATGGCAAACATCCATTCAACTATCGAGGCTGGAAATTCAAGGAACGATAAAGTATGCAGAATTTTTAAGATCGATAATTTTTTGATATCTCATATTGTGGTGTGCTACTTATACGAACGATATAAGTAGTATAAGAAGGGACGTGAAAGAAGAAGTCGCACGGTCACTAGAGGAAAACGGAAAGCAAATGGTGCAAAAGCAAGAAGTAAATGGAGTACCAACAGGAAGGAAAGGAAGCAACAGCAGGAATGGAAGAAGGCTGGAGCGTTGGAAGTCAGGACTCAAAGATGGTGTGCAAATAGAGTGTTCAATGTGATGTTTTCGTTTTTAGTTGACTAAGAGTGTAAATTTGCTAAATACAATCTATCGAGCCTGCCTCAGTCTTCTCAATATTACCTACTGGAAGATGGAATATTTGGAGATGTTGCTTATCCGTTGGAAACTTCTTTGCTAATACCACCTTTTAGTACAGTCGATAGAATAAATCATGTTATAGGGTTAAGTTGTTTCTGAAAGGAACTGATATATTATAATTGTCAAAATAAAAGTTTAGTACTTTTTCACAAACCTGAACGATTTACTGATAATAAATCACGATGTGGACAAACAATGAACTTACCAGTTTAAACCATATCTTTTATACTACTTCTGGTACAACGGTTGCGTACGTACTAACTCACACAGCTCACATTATATACACCCGATTTCAAATGTTCATAAAATGATATTTCTTCGCTGAGAGTTATTTATATTCCCGGATTTGCAATTTCTCTCTTCACACAGTGAAATCAGCGAACCGAAACCTAGAAACAATTCAGAACTCTTACTATATTGTTATTGACTCAGCAACGACTTTTTTAAAATAAGCGTTAACCATCGAGAAATTTCAGCGCTGGTATTCTGAATATCTAGGATGTGTATACTTAAAAATATTAGCAACGAAAATAAACAATAGGCATTGGACCCGGTATAATTCGTTCTGTATAAGCTGAAAGTTACGATGAAGTGAAAATGTGTTTTAATTTTTGTAGAATGAAAGATTATGAAAAAGAACTTGTTATTAGTTAGATTTATTGAAGGGAATAATTTCAAAACCATAATAATTTAGTTCTTATTAAGTATTCTAAAGTACTTGACAATAAACTAGTTAATATAGAGAAAAAGAGGTTTATGCAATTTACCACCACCTACCATCATAATCTGATTTCAACATGGTAGCACTACTCATAGATTGGCTCAATTCATGACAGGCACTTTCATTACAACACTTCAAAGTATTCCATACATTCTCAGACAGATTATTTAAATCATTTGGTATGCTGGAAGTATTCGATATAGATGAACCACGACTTTGATGACGACTTCGTGATTGGTTGACTTCATTCATTAATTCTTGATCCAACTCTTGAATAGAACGATCAGTTGGGTGACAACGTTTTATAGATAGGCTAACCAGATGACCAGCTAATTTACCTAACCAAATTGATGTTGATCGAACTACAAACGAAATGAGAATGAAAATAGAGAAACATGGATGAAGAACATGATTTCTGTAAATTACTAAGACATGATAATTATTCTGTTCTTACAATATACTTAAATATCTTTATAAGAAACCTTAAAACAAACATATATAACAGCCAAACGAATTTGTAGACTTCAGTTAAAGAAATATTTCTGTCTCAATAGAAATACACCGTTCCATAGTACTTACGTTCGAAGTTTTACATAGTAACTGAGTGTCTGACTGACACCAATCGTTATATGCATCGTATTTTATATCAAGTTTATTTCCCAACACACTGAATTAGAAAGTACTATAATCGAACTTTGTCTCTTTATCTCTTCTTCATAGTTAATTATTCATTGTATAATTTGATCTATCTTGCATCCCCATAAACCTATGAACGCATACAAAGTTAATGATAATTTGTATAACTATGTTTATTGAAGAAAATACTGAGTTGAAACAATATAACATTTGATTTTAGCTTGTTACATATGTAATCAGATTAGCATTAGAGTAATGATGGCTACTCTCACAAGACTGAATGATTAACTTAAACTCCTGACTGTGAATAGAAGAAATCAAAGAAGGGACCATCAATCAGATGAATGATCTTGCCCAAGTGATAAGATAATAAATATGTCTTATTAAGAGAATAATGAATACAAAATCAACATGGTCAAATGTTGTCATAAGTGATTGGAGAAAATCAGCTTGAAGATTATCTAACGTATCGGAATCCGACATACAAACTACAACATCCCGGTTTAGTAGTGTCTAAAAAGGTTAAGTACATGACTCAAAACCCAAGGGTCTTGAGTTCGATCCCCAATAGAAAGTTGGAAATGGCACTGCTTCTAGGCTTAAATCAATTCGTGTGATCTTTGTAAAAAAAATTCATTTCAGACAAATTGTTAACAAATAAATGTCTAGAAAGAAATATGTTGTGATATTGTTTCTTTGTATATGAATTTGAGAAAATAGGTGTGTGTATTTGATTATGCGTAAAATTCAGTGAAGGCAGAAGAATGCTTACCATCAATCGGAATGAATAGTTTAGACGAAATATAAAACTTAAAAAACATAATTAGTGATTTATGAAAATTCAATGGTCTAGACAGTTAGTTTGCCGTAACTCGTTGTTAATCAAACTAGAGTTTAATTAACTCAAGATACATTCTACCAGGTTGAATAAAAAGTAAAACATAGGCCATAAAAATTCCGAATCTGTAATTCAGCTGTTTAAAGTATCGAGTAAATAAACCGTTACGAAACAGTCTCCTCTACCCCCCGCCCAACTAGAACAGCTTAAGAGATCCTTGAGAATTTAACCGACTTTTCTTTTCGGTCAGTAAACAAAAGAATGAATTTATCTGTCGAAGAAATATAGAAATACACGACTCCTACTCCTAGCAGGATTCGAACCCGGGACCTTCGATATTGTGCGCGAACGCCTAACCAACGGAGCACTGGGACGTTGAGAAGATGTGACCAATGGAATTCAACTCTGTCAAGTGTAGGCAGTAACTAGCAAAGACAAATGGATGAGGTCGCGCAAAATCCCTAGATCAATCAGAGTTAGACATTAACACCGTTGGATGCCGGCCCAGTGGTCCGATGGTTAGGCGTTCGCGCACAATACCGAAGGTCCCAGGTTCGAATCCTGCTAGGAGGAGTCGTGGATGCGTACTGTGTCTGACTAGTCCCATTCCAGGACGAAACGGCCGTTCAGTGCTTCCAGGTTTCTAATGGTGGTCTAACAATGATTGATTGATGAATTCAAATGTGTAAAAACACAAACCTCCAAAACTCTGCCCGAAAATATAGAAATAACAGATAAACAAAGTAGGAAGACAATGATTTTTATCAGATGATGCTTATAAACATAACAATTACTATATGTATACACAACCATAATAATTTTGGATAAACTGTTGGTGAATACAATTGAGATCTTCATAAACATTCATGTTTATTCAAATTAGTCAATGAACTGCAAATTTATTCGATTTGTTACATAAAAACTAAAGATGTCGCCAATGAAGTGTCTAACACAAAACAAGTACAGTAGGATTTGAATTTCCTATGAACTAAAAACAAAGGGGAATTAATGTCATATTGGCTTTATAGTAGGATATCTTTTCAATTTTGACGCTTCTCTTAATATCAAGTTAAATGAACAATGGGCACAAGATGTGGTTCTATGAATATTCTATGAATTGGCTAACAGGCTCTCATTAGCTGTCAATGTTGTTAGTATTACTGTGGTGAGAGCTACTTATAAGTAGTATATGACGTGAGTGTCAACGTAATGTCTGGCAGCAGAAGATGGGGGAAGATCAAGAAAGGAAGAGTTAGAAAACAATGGAATTTGTATGAAACGCATGAATAGTAGTGACAATGGATTGATGTTTTGCAACAGAAACAGTTCAGTTCGATATGATGGATTGATATTTTGCAAATTAACGATTTACGATATGGTTTTCCGATTTTACTCAGTAACTCTGTAATTTCCGTTAAATACAATTCGGTTGCCCTCAACGGTGTTCTTCTTCACTACATTACTACTATATAACATTTTCCTTTATCCTACTCCATCTAAAAGGCAACAAGAATCTTACATGAACCAATTGGTGTAATGATTAAAGCATTTAGTATTCACAGATAGCAACACGGAGTTTCAGTTTCCTCCTTCATCTATTCCGTGCTACGGTAAACCGGATAGTATCACTTGTCCTCACTCAAAAAAAAATTGTAGCTTAAAGTCGATAACAATAATCTGGTGTTTGACAAGTTCGTATATTGCAAAAACCGAAAAGATGGCAGTAGTAAACAAAGTGATATAATATTCTTATATGCATTACGGGGTTGTGAAGATTGTTAAGTTACACATTTTTGAAACCATGAATCGATCAATGTTAGACCACCATTAGAAACATGGAAGCACTGCAAGACGGCCGTTTCGTCCTGGTATGGGACTACTCCTCAGCGGCAGTGCGCATCCACGACTCCTGCACCCCGCAGGATTCCAACCCACGACCTTCGGTATTGTAGGCGAACGCCCTAACCGTCAGACCACTGAGCCAGTATCTAACGGTGTTAATGTCTTACTTGATCAAATTCACGGAGTTGCGCAACCTCATACACAGTCTTCGGTAGACACTGCCTACACCCGAACAGGTTGAACTTCACTGGTGACGTCTTCCCACTAGAACTCGGAGAAGATTCCTCACGTAGTCACTAGTGAGCACAGATAATTTGCATTACGCGGTTGTGAAGATTGTTAGGTTACATATTTTTGAATCCTGTGGGGTGCAGGAGTCGTGGATGCGCACTGCTGATGAGTCCCATACCATTACGAAACGGCCGTCCAGTGCTTCCAGGTTTCTAATGGTGGTCTAACATTGATCGATTCATGGTTTCAGAAATGAATGTTCTTATATCACAAACACTAGGGTTATACAAATTTCTATTCGGTCAATATTTTTGATTGTGAAATCAACAAACATTTAAAAAAACTGCTTACACAATGTCATTATTAATTAGAAAATACTAGTTGAATAGAAATTCATAAACAAAAAAATTCGAAAATAGATTTTCAAAACAACAAAAAGATGCTTTATGATTCGTTAAACGAAACATTTGATTTCATAGAATATAATAATTTCGTTCTTTATAATTATTATCAGCATTATGAACTAAATAAGAATAATAGTCACAATGAAGTTAGAGTTCAAGGTCAGTCAATAGGAGGACTAAAAATAAACAGACTAACGAAAGTAAAACATTTTCATAGTATATATATATATTTCTAATGCATTTTTTTTTCAAGGCCCTAGAATAAGTTCATTGTATGATTGGTCGGTAGGTAGGTAGTAAGGATATCATATCAGATTATAGTGCATTGTGACAATGATACTGCTAAATATGGGGAAAGACAAATAAATAGATAACAATAAGGCAACCAACCACTTTTAGATATTTTAGGGCACAGTTTTGGAGGTTTGCGGTTTTACACATTTGAAATCATCAATCAATCATTGTTAGACCACCACTTTTAGTTAGTATATTTTTTTAATAGCAATGTTGGTTAGTTAGTTAGTTAGTTAATTGTGTCTGAGAACAGAGAATGTTAATAATGCTGATTTTTTTTTTGGTTAGCTTATTTAAACTCTCAGTACTACCAAAATACTGCCGAAATAATTCGAACAGCTAATTCATTTGTTTTATTTGTAACGATGAATCGATCAATGTTAGACCACCATTACAAACCTGGAAGCACTGGACGGCTGTTTCGTCCTGATATGGGACTCATCAGCAGTGCGCATCCACGACTCCTGCACTCCGCAGGATTAGAGCCCAGGACCTTCGGTATTGTGCGCGAACGCCCTAACCGTTAGACCACTGAGCCGGTATCCAACAGTGTTAATGTCTAACTTGATCGAATTCACGGAGTTGCGCAACCTCATACACTGTATACATCGGAACAGGTTTGAACCTCACTGGTCACGACTTACCACTAGAACTCGGAGAAGATTCCTCAGCAAGCTAGTCACTAGTGAACACATGTAATTGCATTGCGGGCTTGTTGTGAAGATTTTTAATTTTTATTTGTAATTATGAATCGATCAATGTCAGACCACCATTAGAAACCTGGAAGCACTGGACGGCCGTTTCGTCCTGGTATGGTTACAAATAAAACTTAACAATCTTCACAACAACCCCGCAATGCAATTCATTTGTTGTATTATAGTTATTTGAATATTTCCATTGATGTGTTAAGACTGTAATTGACAAGTTACTTTAGTATATGTGCATCCTGTGTAGATTGCTTCACTATTGCCATTAAGTCACAAGCATTATTTAGTATATAAATAAATGGTGGCTGGTAGTGGAATCCAAGATGTACAGTACAAGTGTACTTAAAAATTAATTTATATACACGAATCAAGGATCACATGTACGGTTGACTATGTGCTGCGTAAAGAACGAAACATTATAAAACAAATAAACCAAGGGGGGTCTACTAATGCATCAAATTCTATTTCTGTGTGTTTACAACTCTTTCAGGCCTGTGATAGTATAATTCTTGAGATGTTGTTAGTGACTAAAGAAAATTAGACATTAGCAATTAATAAATACCTTTCAATCAATAAACCTTGATCTCTTAGCGATATGCATGATCAGAGAGCAACACCATATAAATTCAAAAGACAAACCCCTTAAAAAAGAAATTAATTAAAACATTAGACTACAAGATAAGTGGTACATTAGGTACGGCTACTATTTCGATTGTGATGATATCTTCAGTATCGAATCACGACGTTTGTGACATGAATATCAACAATGAGACTAGTTCGACGAACCCTTACTAAATCAGTCAGTCAGTTTCAACAAAGAACTTCGTACGTAGGTACATCAGTTCAAGTCAACATATCACATTAGCACAGAGACGCAATTGTTAATTCAAATCCCATAGGACTAGAGGTAGTAGAAGTATTAGCGGTAATCAAAAAGATTAATGATCGAATATTCCATTTGAGATGTATACCCCAGAGGGAATCAGTTAAAAAAATGAAAAAACGGTCATGAGGAATTCAGAGGATTAGAATTTCAGAGAACAAACGGCTTTAAGCCATGTCGTTCAAAGTCTCTAACCATCGGTTACTATCATCTCGCGAACTCCAGCTAGGTAGTCGACACCTATCAACATGACTCAGTCCACTTGTCAGTGACTTCATGGATTTGTGTCATGTTTTGGCTTGGTCGCCCTAAGCTTTCTTCCAACCTATTCCTACATTGCAAAGCATAGCTCGACGAGGCGATCGGTGGTTAGGCATACGTAGCACATGTCCCAACCACCTCAAATGATGACGTTTCAATACTTCATTTATTGATCTGCCATCCTTACCTAGTAGTACCTGTTTTCTAACAACTGCATTGCTTACTCAATAGTTACTAAATAGTGGTATAATCATCACATTCGTTAAACAAGTTAGTGAATACCTAGGCTCAATAGTTCCAACGTTTACCACAATTCATCTCTCTTCGATAAAAATTTTTCATATCATTAAAAAATCAAGCACGGATATTAGTATCCTACTAATATAGTATTTCAACTCGTTTTTTAAACTTTTAACAGGGTTTTTTAAAATAACCAAAAAATTTTTTAAAATTTTCACAGCGTTTTTTAAAATAACCACAGCGTTTTTTAGAATAACCACAGCGCTTTTTAAAATAACCACAGCGTTTTTTAAAATTTTTTGTAATCCTTAGAATGTCAGAAATAAATAGAAAAAACAACTTGATTTCGAATGAAAAAAGAAAAAGCCTTATAAAAAAAGTTATTGAAGATGGATACAGCGTCAAGGATGCGGCATTTCTTACAGATGTAAACTATCAGGCCGCTACAAATATTATAAGGTTGTATAAAAAGGAATCGCGAGTTGAGAAGAAAAAAACAGGAAAACCATCAAATAAGAAGATATGCGGTGATATTATCAATTTTGTTGAAGAATTGATAGAATTAAACCCGTTAATAACGATGGTAGAAATTCGAGAAAAAATAGAAAACATATTTTCTATAGGCCTTTCTCTTGAATCTATATAAGGATAATTTATAGACTTCAGATTACTTTGAAAAAGATTTCATATACATCGGTCAATATAAATTCGGAATCCAGTAAAAACAAGCGCCAAATTTATGCTCAAAATTTTATGAACATTGAAGATACAATTATAAAAGTTTTTATAGATGAATCTTCTTTTAATTTGTACTTAAGAAGAACCTTGGGAAGATCTACAAGAGGAAAAACGGCAAGTGCCCTAGTTCCATCAAGGCGTGGAACCAATATAAGTTTAATATCGGCTACAACAGAAAATGAAGTTCTCTTTGCTAAAACATTTGTTGATTCGGTGAATTCAGATAAGTACATTCAGTTTTTTGGTTATTTTAAAAAACGCTGTGAAAATTTTAAAAAATTTTTTGGTTACTTTAAAAAACCCTGTTAAAAGTTTAAAAAACGAATTGAAATACTATATATACTAAAAGATGTAGCAAAAATGTACTCGACCCTGAGCAAGATTACATGACGGCTTTTAATGATAGTCGATTGAACTTCCACATTTATTTACTTTACAGTTTATTTGCTTCACTAATAAGTAATACTATTTAAGTAGCATTCATTTTGTTAATAAATTGAAAAATAATTAGTGCATCACATGGATAATTATTATTATTTTTATTATTATTATGAAACGATTTTAAGTTTCCATTGGATACAATCTATTTCATAATAAACATGGGAGAGAGAACTCTAAAGTTTGAAATAATAAGGTACGAAAAATAAATTACTATTTTATTACAACAGAATAAACAATAATTCCGAGTTTAAGTTTTGTTGAAAAGTCAAATCTCGATAGTTCAACTATTTATTAAACAGTTTAACTGTAATATATATATATATATATTAACAATCCAGCTAGAAATTTGAAATGTTGGGCCGAGAATTAATAATTAAATTAATTATATATGAAAAAAATAATTAAAAAATATTTACTGAATAGAATAGAATCATACATTTTCATGCTTGAAAAAAGAAACAAGGTCGTTTTAAAAGTAATTGGACATTGAACAAATCAATAAATGAATAAATCAGTGAACAAGTATGATCCAACAGTAACGATTGATTAGATTTTATCTCTTATAGTAAAACAAACTACTACTAGATAGATAGATTCTAGCAAACTATTAGAAAACTATGCAGATTCTTAATCAACTTGTGTAAATCAAAGAAAGAAATGCAGAGTCTTCTGATCACCTTGAGCAACAATGCAAGCACGTTCGGCATGCGATCCTCCCCGTCGAAATGCAAAATGTTGCTTCAGGATTGGCTTGTATCGGCACCTGAACTAGAGATAGTGAGTGAAGTAGTTGGGCGTGTCGACCGCTTCACTTATCTGGGGAGTCTCATCAGTGCTGATGGCTTGGTGACTGACTGATTAAGAATGAGCACAGATACAGAAGGCTCGATTGGCTTTCGCCAACCTGCGTCACTTATGACACTGGCGAGATATCCATTTGCTAAACAAAGGACGAGCGTACTGCGCAGTAGTTCGCTCCTCCCTACTATATGGCTGTGAAACATGGCCAGTGAGAGTAGAAGATATTCGTACGTTGCTCGTTTTCGATCACAGGTGTCGCCGAAGCACTGCTCTTGTATCCTCGGACAACCTTGTTAGCAATGCTTTGGTGAGGAAACGCGTACTAGGTAAGGATGGGAGATCAATGAATGAAGTATTGAAACTTTATCAGTTAAGGTGGTTGGGACATGTGCTACGTATGCCTAACCATCGATCGGCTCGTCGAGCTATGCTTTGCAATGTAGGAATAGGTTGGAAGAAAGATAGGGGCGGCCAAGCCAAAACATAGCACAAATCCATGAAGTCACTGACAACTGGACTGAGTCATGTTGGTAGGTGTCAAATACCTGGTTGGGGCCCGTCAGATGATATTAATCGATGTTTAGAGACCCTGAATGACGGCTCAAAACCACTTGCAATGATGCAGGTGCATTCATTCCTTGTGTTGTCTCCCAAATCCTAACCTTCGGAGTTCTCATCACCTTTATCTTGTTATTTTCAAGTTTATTTCACTAGATTCTACTTCTTCAATAATATCTTTGAACCCTAAAATGTTCGATTCCTGTTAATACTTCTACTATCTCTACTACTATGGGATTCGGATTGAAAATTGCGTCTGTTTACTAATGTGTTATGGAAACTTAAACTAATGTCCGTACGTACGGACAAAGTTCTATGTTGTTGTTGATTGACTGACAAACAAAGAAATCGAATTATTATTTAGTTTAGTATCAAGTTTTTGCCATCCGTTTACCTCCTAGTTGAAGTGAATCGAAAGTATACGTGTGCATGTAGATCATCCGATACAGTCTAGTCCAAAACTGTTTTCGATTACGGATTGATGATCAAGGAGTTCAGGGAAAATGTGACGAATTGAAGTGATACACTGAGAAAATTACAATTAAACTAAACACGTTGGCCACAATAATTGCATACAAAAATTGTCATTTTACACAAAAGGATATGTTAAATATGAAAAAAAGTACTGACAAGTAAAAATATTCACAATAGCTGTTATCTTAATCAAAGTTATTTCATAATTGTACTTACCTCCAAGCGATGTCGGTGCCAATAAACAAGTCTCTGATTCTTGACTTCCAGTTGTTAAACAAACAGTTAACAAACTATGCTCATTCTAAAAAACAAAAAATTTCAATTTAAAAAAATTATGAATTATAGAATAAATTTATGTAATCTGAAAACATAAAACCAGATTTTATGAGAATTATTGATAATCAAAACTGTTGTCATTCATTTTTTTTCCACTTCATTTTTTTTTACTTAGTACAGATTCTTGCCGTCGAAATTCAAGAGAGAAAAAAACAACCAATGAACATTGAATATCTAATCTCCATTAAAACACGATCATTATGAGATGAAATAAACAATAGAGATCCATCAAGATGAGAAGAATGATTGCAACGGAGGTGGATATTTAGAAAAAAAAAGTAATCGATAAAATTCATAGGCTAACAAGTTAATCAAGAGTCAGGGAAAAATTAATAACTCAATTCCCGCGAGGTGGGTTGTGGATGCGCACTGCCGAAGAATCATCCTATACTAGGAGGACGAAATGGCCATTCAGTGCTTTCAGATTTCTAATGGGGTGGCCTAACAATGATTAATTCATGATTTCAATGAAAAACAACAATCTTTATAACTCTATACTCAAAAATAAACGCATTTGTACAATTATCAAAGCTATGACCTAATGAATTGAATGATATATTATCTTGATTTGACTATTATGTTTCTTATATAAATCTAATTTTAATTATCAGTGTTTATCAGTTCATCAACTAATCAACTTAATTTATTTAATAATATACAAAGTGATAGATTAATCAGCAATAATAGAGAAAAATATCATGGATACACGTGAACAAACAGTTATTGTTATAACAGAAAGAGTATCGGAAAAGTTAAGACTTTTGGAACTACTACTGTGGTGCGCGCTACTTATAAGTATTATATGACGTGTCAACGTAAGATCTGGCAGCAGAAGATGGGGGAAGATCAAGAAAGGAAGAGTGAGAACACAATGGAATTTGTATGAAACGCATGAATAGTGAAATGTCAGACAATGGATTGATGATGGACTGAAGATTTGCAAATTAACCGTTTACGATATGGTTTTCCTATTTTACTGAGTAACTCTGTAATTTTCGTGAAATACAATTCGGTTGCCCTCACCTGTGTTTTCCTTCACTACACTACTAGTTCATTAGATTATTACTATTATTTGTAATGTATAATTAGTAGATATTTATTACTACATATTTCGATATTCTCTTCATTGAAAATTTTCAATGGACCTATGAACTATCGTTATATGTTTTACTATTCCTTAATTATTACTGACTAATCATGCCCTTTAATGTTTGTTTTGCTCACTGTCGATTAAGACATTGAATGTGTGTTTAAAGTCGGATTTCTTTTAGTTGATTGTACTAAGGTAATTAAAACATAATACTAGAAGCTTGGTTGCTGACTATTATTAGGACTAATGAACAAAGACAGAGAGAGATAAAGAAAAGCTTGTGTATATAAGGTGAATGACTGACTAGAAGGAATGCAGTTTACATCCATCCACTTAAGGTGAACTGTGCAGCAGTTGTTCAGAATGCATGAATTGATCACGTGCCAGAGAATAGATAAATTAGTAGAGAGACAGAATAAAATAAATTATCACGTGACATCGATTTGCATTTTCGAAACAATATATAACAATCATTAATCTTGTATGTTTTAGCTTTTGTGGACGTTTTTTTACAGTCAGTCAGTCGTCATAAAATGATGTAATAATCATCGTTTTCATAGGCTTTGTGATATTTTGTCTTAAGTTGCAAATAATGTGTAAAAGTCAATTGGCATAAAATTGTATTTGCGATAATATTTTGGTAGTGGAAAAATGAAAACAACTATTATCCTGAACTGTTATTGAAATTTTGAAAATTCTTAAGATAATATATTAAATGGATTGAACATTGAACTACGCAATACATTGCATTAAAAAAAAACATAAAAATGAAAGTTTTAATATAATTTGTTTTTACACATTTGAAATCATCAATCAATCAATCAATCATTGTTAGACCACCATTGGAAACCTGGAAGCACTGAAGGACGGCCGTTTCGTACTAGGTATAGTGCAAGATTCATGGACGCGCACTGATGATGAGTCCTATACTATGGCCAAAAACGGCCGTCCAATGCTTCCACATTTCTAATAGTGATCTAACAATGATTGATTAATGATTTCAAATGTGTAAAAACAATAATCTCTATAATTCTAATTGAAAACTATAATTTATCTTTTTAAAAAGCATCTATGTAACCTCTGATTCACTATTAGCTACTACTACTGAGAAGAGTGAGGCAGCAGCGATAGATTGTATTTAGCAAATTTACAATCTTAGTCAATTAAAAACGAAAACATTACATTCAACACTCTATTTGCACACCATCTTTGAGTCGTGACTTCCAACGCTCCAGCCTTCTTCCATTCCTGCTGTTGCTTCCTTTCCTTCCTGTAGGTACTCCCTCTTTACTTCTTGCTTTTGCTCCATTTGCTTTCCGTTTTCCTCTAGTGACCGTGAGAGTTCTTCTTTCACGTCCCTTCTTATACTACTTATATCGTTCGTATAAGTAGCACACACCACACTACTACTTGTCATGTTATTTAAAATGTTTCTTACATTTTTGACATGTCTGAAGTTTAGATAGTATCACAACATATATATATATATATATATATATATATATATATATATAAATGGTATGTTATTATTTTTAAGAGGAAGTGATCATATCGAAAAACACATATAACGATTTCATTTCTTTGAAACAAAAAAATGTCTGAATCAAAGAAACCATGTCATTTCCAAGTTAAATATACACATGTACCGATAGATACTATGCAGAGGAAATAAGTCACGTAGAGACATTTTTTTAAAAACAACAAAAAAAAAATTATTATAATCTCAGTAAATGTGGAATGAAAACTATTCAATAAATTGTTAAATGATATCTTAATAAGCCAATGAAACTGTGTAATAACTTTTAAATGCCTTGATTTTAACAGGAGACCAAGAAGTGGATATATTGCTGTTAGGAAAATTTGTAATGTAATAAACCCCTCTACTACACGGTTGAATTAAATTGGTCATGATTTCTCACAAAAAAACTCCTAAAATTAATCACTGGAGAGTACATCATAATTACCAGTATAGAGAGTTTCTGAAGATTGTTAAATGTAGTTAAGTACACAAACCATTGGAAACCATGAAGCCATTTGGTCGTAATGTGGTAACTCCTCATTAGGTGTGAGGTAGTTATCCACTATAGGCATTATCGCCAACCGATTATAGTCAAATATGCTAATCATTGCATTTTGGCCTAATATTACGAAGGTTATGCGTTTTATGTGAGACCTGAAGGTCTTGAGTTTGACTCCTAGTGGTGGGATCGTATATGTGTATAATAGAGTCCCACTAGGATGTCAGTCAGTCAGTTGCAACGCAGAACTTCGTACGTATGTACATAAGTTCATGTTGCCATACCACATTATTAGCACAGAGACGCAAATGTCAAAACAAATCCCATAGTGATAAACATAGTATAGGTATTAATGGTAATGAAGAAGAATAGGGTTCAAAGATATTATTCAAGAAGTATAATCAGGTGAGATAAGGATAGAAGACAAAGGTAGAGGTGCTGACAAATCCAGAATATTAGGATTTGAGAGAGCTCAAAGAATGGATGCACTTGCGCCATTGCGAACGATTTTGAGCCATGTCATTCAAGGTCTCTAACCATCGGTGACTTTCGTCTCGCGGACCCCAACCAGATAGTCTACATCTACCAACACTAGGATGAAACAACTATCAAGAGCATCCTGATTTTCAGGGTATGCCCAACTTGAACAGATCATGTTCTCAATAACAAATACTATAATTCAAATTACTAACTGAAACTTCTATTAAAATGGATCCGTACAAAAAAATGGAAGCGACAAAAAGATAGATGAAGTCAGTTTTCCATCACGAGTTGACTTTAAATAGCCACATCACCAATCAATATTATAATATATCTATCTACTTGACGATGGATCTATGATTAGCTAGCTAGTATTGACGCTCTTTTTCTATCAACACATGTGATATTCCTCTTTAGACCAAAATTGTATTTTGGTATCATGATCAATTTAGTTAATAATAAATAACAGTATCCACCTAATCGTTTCCCAAGTACAACAAACAACAACAAACAACAACTGAAGTACAGTCTGGTATTTTTCTTCTATATCCTTCAGTTAAAGAAAATAAAAATAACGAAATAAACAGTCATAAACATACACACACACACACAAAAAAAAAGACTGATAATTATGTATATTTCGACAGGATATCAATTGTTTGTACTACAAAACAAACAATTCACTGAATTATTTATTTTATCATAGAATAAAACGCTGATATGAAAACAAAATAATTAATCGTGGACATCTATCTAAATATATGCATGCATGTAGGCATGGATTACTCGTAAGCATCAGCGTGTTTATGATCTCCAACAGCGTAGAGACAGACACCAATGACAGGCGCTAAGACAAAAAACAAACAAAGCAGCATCGATCTGAAATAATTGCCCAAACCTCAAAAAAAATATCCTACTGGTTATATTTGTGCTCTTTTTTTCTCAACATAAAAACACATAATGTAGTGAAGGAGAACACAGGTGGTGAGGGCAACCGAATTGTATTTCATGAAAATTACAGAGTTACTCAGTAAAAATAGGAAAACCATATCGTAAATCGTTCGTTAATTTGCAAATCTTCAATCCATCATCAATCCATTGTCTGACATTTCACTCACTATTCATGCTATTTCATACAAATTCCATTGTGTTCCCACTCTTCTTCCTTTCTTTTGATCTTCCCCCATCTTCTGCTTTCTGCCAGACATTATTACGTTTACACTCACGTCATATACACTACTTATAAGTAGCGCACACCACAATAATACAGCATCATTAACTATGAGCTTAGTTGATTGTTGAATTCCTTTTTTTTTCTCTAACAAATATTTATAAAGATTTTAGTAATAATAAAATATCACATGAAGAATAGAAAATACAATTAAGCACCGTATCTAATATACCTATTGTTAAGAGGCTCACAGTTGCATAGTTCTTTTTTTCTTTGTTGAAATAAATCGATACTAACAAGTGACCATTCCAGGAAAAAAAAGATGACACATAGACAATTAAGTCATCTTATTAATTGAAATTAATAGTTAAGCGAATATAATCTCTCCTTTCCACATGAAACAAACCATATCACAAGAGAATGAAATCAAATACGTAAACAGATAATATTGTCAGTATTTGTCTTTTAGTTTCTATCTATGAATGGAGGGGGAGATAATACAATCAACGTCATTTGGTTTTATACATTAAGCGCAATGCTATAAGAAATAGAATTAGGATTTTTATAAGTTAAACTCTCCAGAGATTGTAGAGATTGACTATCAGATTAAAGCAAACCTTTCAAATGATAGACTGCACATATAGAAAGAATAGTTTTATTGTATATTTTATACAGTTGGTGGGTTAGTAACCAGGCCGTTAACATTTATTAAAAACTGGTTCTGTAATTAAATCAACCATTGAATTGGCTAAAAGTTATTCTCCCAGGTTATGCATCAGACAGTGTTAAGTCGCGCATAGAACAACAAGAGACCTGGCATAGATGCACATTAACCCAAGCCGTATATTATTTCAGCACAGTGAGATGAAAGTAAACATTGATGTGCCCAATATTCCGTTAAGGCTGATAACGCCATCTGCCTATCTGAATGAACTGGGTAGTACAGGGAGAGTTAAAACTTTTTAACTACGGAAAGCTATCAGGTCTACATATAAATCAAAATGATGTAGGAAATCGCAAACTAATCCGATTTTGTTAACAAACGTCAACTATAAAAAAGAGGTAGGAAGTTATCTAATGTATTCACGTTATATAAGAATAAACTGAAGACTTTATTAGTACGATATGAAATGCGTAAAGAAAAAAGTTCCATCTTGTAAATGACGCTGATAAAAGATCAGAAAATAAGAAGTTACAGTCATTCGGTCAGTCAGTTACAACGTAGAACTTCGTACGTAAGTACATCAGTTCATGTTGTCAAACCACATTAGCACAGAGACATAATTTTCAATTCAAATCCCATAGTAGTAGAGGTAGTAGAAATATTTGCAGTAATGGAGAAAATTAGAGTTTGAGGATAGAAGTTACAGGAAAAACAGTTGAGAACCTTGGTAAAATCACAAGGAGGCGGAAGGAAATGGAGTGAAAACATATTTTAACCGGTAGATTGAATTGGAAAAACATTTTAAACCTAAAACTACATTGATTTTTCAATCCTGAATGTTTTAAATGTCATAGTAATTGATTATGTGACAAAAACACTTACTTTATTGTCATTCTAGGGTTATGGATTTCATGAATTCTATAGAAATCATGTACCGATCGCTGTTAGAAAACCATTAAAAATTTGGAAAGACTAGACAGTCATTTTTTCTTTGTATTGGAATCCTCACGACGAAGCGGATGTCTAGTTCTCAAGTTTTCAGTAGCGTGGACACGCACTTCTGATGAGTCCCGCCGTAGCAGGACGAAACGGTCGTCCAGAGCTTCCAGGTTTCTAATGGTGGTCTAACATTGATTGATTCATGATTTCAATAAATGAACTATCGTCATGATTACGAAGTTTAAGAAAACAATTCACAAAATCGAACTCTATAAAAATAAATATGTCTACACATACGTGTTATTATACAAATACGTTTCAGAGAAAGTCATAGTTTAGTCTTTACCATACAAAAAAACGATATTAATTGTAAAAGGAGATGGATTTTGAAGGTCAGTAAATAATTACAATTAACTCTGTCTGATCAATGTTAAATTTTGCAAGATACAAATAAATGAATTGAACAACAAAATCAGATGTCTAATAAAACATACCAAATGTTTTTTTTTCTCTTCGAAATAAACTGTATTTATTTATAGTTAGGAAAGAAATTTTTATTCAATTAACAAGGTTTTTATCTCAAATGAAACAAACATACTTTTCAGTAAACAATTGTATTCACAAATACTTTGATGCAAAATATTCAACACAATCAATACAGCTATTAATGATAATAATAATAATAATAATAATAATAATAATAATAATAATTTTAACAAGATAACTGAAAGCTTACTTCTCACCTGAGTAACAACATTATGCATTCCATTTTCTTCTTTATTTAAAGGTAAATCATTTATATCAACTGAAATCTGATAAAAACATAGAAAAAGGAAAACATATATGTGAATTAAAACATATGGCTTAAACAAAAAAAGAACAAATAAAAGGATAGATAATATGCAGGGGAAAAAAAAGAATCTGACGTCATTGGGATTCGTTTTTTCTTTTAAAAAAGAAACACCCATCCAATCAATCAATCAATCGATCAATAGCGAGGTAGAACTTCGTATGTACGTACGGACATCAGTTCAATTTGCCATACCAAATTAGGACAGAGATGTAATTTTCAATTCAAATCCCATAGTAGTAGAGGTAGTAAAGGTATTAGCAGTAATCAGAGAGATTAAGGTTCGACAATATTATTCAAGAAGTAGAATCTAGGCAAAGAAACTTAAAAATAACAAGATAACAGTGATGAGGAATTCAGAAAGTTAAGATTTGAGAGAACACAAAGAATAAATACACCTGCACCATTGCAAACGGTTTTGAGCCATGTCACTTAGAGTCTCTAACCATCGATTTCTATCATTTCGTGGGCCCCAACCACGTAGTCGACACCTACCAACATGACTTAGTCCAGTTGTCAGTGACTTCATGGATTTCTGCCACTGATCTACTCAATCTATCAACTACTAACAGTGTAATGAATGATATGGCACGCATATGCATTGCCAAACGTATTTACACTACACGCTAGTGTAAGGAAAAGACATTCATGACATGAAAACCAACAGAGTGGGAATAATAATAATAATAATAATAATAATAATAATAATAATAATAATAATAGATAGATAGAGTACAGTTAACTAAACATAATTCGAAATAAAAGAATGAAAAGTATGTGGAATTAAACTAGTTCGAGATTTGAAGGTGAATGATGAAAGAATGGCATTTGAGCTTTGGTGATGGATTTTTTATTATGTCAACTAAAGTGGTCACAAACCAGAGAGGATTTCCTAGATGCCAAAGGAAATAAACTAAATCTATCATTCGTGAAAGCGAGACTAGGTAAAAATGGAAACAAAAAAAACGAATCAGTTCAGTGAATAATAAGTACTATCATGATTGACTTTTAAAGTTTGATCATATAGTAGTAAAGATTGGAAAGTGTATTATGATTACTAAATTAAATATAGAGACTCTAGGTTACACGATAACTAATTGCTCACTTCATACACATTGAGAAGTTCACTAATGAAAAAACGTAGCGTTTACCTGATTCTAATTACATTTCTGATCTCAGAATTGATTGGACTTACTGGTATTTCAAAGATCGAAATCGGGTTGTCTGCTAAGAAAGCAGAATCACTGAGAACTAAAGAGAATGTTTCCCAAGTTAACCACCTATTACTTACTCTAAGCTAACCAATTTCCTATTACAATTATCCTTGGTTGTAGCTATAATAGTGTTTCATTATCAATAAAAGTACTTAGGTGTTTAACAGAACAGTGTATAAATAACCACTTATAAAAACTCACTATCAGATAATTGATCAATCATGAGTAATAACTGTCCTTGCACAATCACGTGTCCCGGACACACAATGTATATCCCATGGTCATAGAGACAAGAATTTTTATCGGTATTTAAATGAAAATAAGTGCATCTCACCAAACATAAGTCCATACATGCACGCGTTGTGCAAAGGTAAATGATAAAATCCGACAGTTCAACTTAAAAGAACAACGAACATGTAGACTATCTTCAGTCTGAAACAATATATCGTAATATTCAATATGTTAATCTGGCTTATTCCGATAAAAAACCTGTCAGTCAATCAGTCAGATGCAACGTAGAACTTCGTACGTAAGTACATCAGTTCATGTTGCCATACCACATCAGCACAGAGATGTAATTGTCAATTCAAATCCAATAGTAGTAGAGGTAGTAAAAGTATTAGAAGTAATCGGAGAGGTTAGGATTAGAAGATATTATTCAAGAAGTATGATTCAGTGAGATAAAAAAAACCTGTAATCTGAAACGTACCTTTAATACTAATATACAACATCATAAAATGGTGTCATGTTACGAAAGGACCATTCCAGAGTGTCTACCATACAACTGTAGGGTACAGTTGATGTAACCTAGGTATCTAAGTTGAAAAGACAAATAATTTCAGCCAACTTATTCGTCACGACTAGAACCTCATTGTTAAGATAAATGATGTTTTAATAAAAATGGTAGCACACTTCAACAATGCTTGAAATCAATATCCGTTAACTATGTACAGTTTTAACTAGTCCTTTATTTATAGCAACCATATTTTACACATTTACCTAATACACTGTAAAGTGTATTTAGTCGAACATTCAACAAAGTGAGTTAGGTAGGAAACAGGTCATTAAGAGAAATATAGGGTATACAAAGATCCTAAAAGATAAGATATCTTACGACTTGAACCTACTCGTATATCCTGTGTATTATAGCAATGTAATGAATCCAAAGTTTCTGAAACTGAACCACGTTCCTCGACTTTGCTTTCTGCGTTTATATCATTGTCATCATCATCTGAAACGAGGCTAATTTGAGAAGAGGCACCACATTTTGAACGAATTCCATTCAGTAAATTTTGTTGAGCCGAAAACTGGAATTGGCTACCTGCTCGTTTACGACGTGATCCATTAGAGCTCCCAACGGCATGACTGCTACTACTTCCATCACTTTCTTCATCATCCGAACAAATATTATCTTCACTTCCAGCTCTCGCCAATCTTTCGCCTGTTAATAACTTTCCGAATGCCCATTGCAAGACTCCGAAAGCTAAATGTTCATTAGAAGGTTCTTGAATTTCATTTTGATCATCTGATGAATTGAAATTGCCTGTAAGATTCACTATCAGACGAGCACTAAGAATTCCGGTTTGAGAACAAGCGATGGCATCTGCTTCCGTTAACAAGTATTGATATAGCGCTTTTGTTAAACAAACTTCTGGCGAATAAGATGTAAGATTGTTAGCAGATTCATTGCTATTTTGATAAACTCCACTGAACGAAATAAAGCGGCACAGAACTGTACAAGAAACAGTAGGATGTTAAGAAGACACAACATTAAAAATAAGATGTCAGACATTTTTAAAAATTTTGCTTTAAATTAGTGTCTTTATGTTAATTCAAGCAGGGATAATACAAAACTTTATTTCCTACATATGGTACATCAATAAACTCGTTCGCAACAGAATACAGATATTATGCCAAGTGCTCGTCTTTCGCTATTTGAGTCCACTGGCTTGCTAACAACAAGTTCATTTATTCACCAGGTACTTGGGTTTAAGTCATAATTTAAGTGTGAGCGCTGATGACACTACCCGGTCGCTCAAACGAAAATATGTGGAACGGGCTACGAACCTGGGGCTCAATTGGCTCAGTCAAATGTCTTAATCACCAGGTCACGGCGAAATGAGATAGAATGTCGAAGTTTCGGTCGCTTATAAAATAGCGTACTAACTTTTCAGAGATTATATAATTACCTTATCCATGATATTGTAATTTGAAATACGTGATTGGTGTTTCCTAAATACATAGGTGACATCGTTTGTTGTTTAATTAACGAGCAATGCACACACAAACAGGAGACGATGGCTTTAATGACTAGTTACAAGTTTCCGACAGTTATCTAAATCTAATTTGACAAGTCTTATCTATTTAACTACTCAAACACATGAATAACGGTGCATACGGCATCAAAATACGTGCGCCACACAAAAGTGAGGTTGTAAAGATAAAGAAATAATAATAATAATAATGAGAGTAGTTTAGTTTAGGAAAATAAGCAGGATTCTTTTAGCCAAAGTTCCTTTTATATGTACGGAGAAAGTCAGTCACACAATACAGAACTTGGTACGTGTACGTATATCAGTTCGAGTTGCCATAACACATTAGTACAGGGAGATCGAATTGTCAATTGATATTCCTTAGTAGTACTCGTAATAGAAGTATTTGCAGTAATAGAAAAGATTAGGGATCGAAGAAGTGATTCGAGAAGTATAATCCGGCGAAATAAATTTGAAAAAGAAAAAAAACACTTTTAAGAGGAACTCTGATCATAATTTGAGAGAAGACGAGGATGGATGCATATGCACCACTGCAAACGACTTTGAGCCATGTCTTTCAAAGTCTCTAACCACCGGTTACAATTGTCTCGCGGACCCCAACTAGGTAGTCTACACCTATTGACATGGCTCAGGCCAGTTCAGCCTTCTGTATCCGTGCTGAGATTTCGTTAGGCGTCAGGCCATCAGCACTGATGAGACTCCCAAGATAAATGAAGCGGTCGACACGCTCAACTACTTCACCCCCTAGCACTAGGTTCAGGTGTCGATGCAACCAATCTTGAAGCAACATTTTGGATTTCGAGGGAGAAAACCGCATTCCGAACATGCTTACATTGTTACTGTGCATTTTGTAAGCGTCTTCACCGAATAGGACTATGTCATCAGCGTACTCTAAGTCAGCAAGCATGTCTCCTGGTAGGTCCAACCCCGAAAAGTCAGGCGAAGATAATGTTAACTTTAACAGCATGTCAACGAGGAAGTCAAACAAGAATGGATAACGTGGACAACCCTGACGAAAATCACTTGAAATAATCAATTCCGACGATGGTTTGCTATAAGCTCTCACTTGACCAGTAGTGTTAGGGTAGACAGCTTGTATAAGTTTAATGTACTTTTTGGTACTGCCATAGAACCTCAAGATCAACAGAGTCGAACGTCGCCTTGAGGTCAAGGAATACGACCATTGTTGGACATCTGAATGTTTCTATGATCCAGGGTCTGACGAAGTGTGAATATCTGGTCTATAAATACACTTCCTGATCTGAAACCAACCTGCTTTTCTCGAATCTATTTTCACGAGCCCTAGTTAGGCGTCAAAGTATTATTGAGGTTAATATTTTAGACAATATATTAGTAAAACTGATTCGTCTGTTATTGTCACAAGTCGAATTTTGTCCTTTCTCATAGACCGGAACAATCAGTAATTGAGACTAGTCAATTAGGATTATGCCTAGTTCCCAAATTCTACCTAAGATCTCAGCTGATCTAACTGCTGAAACTGAACCACCAACCTTAAAAATATGAGAGGTTTATCTATAAGGGCCCGCTGCTCTCCCGAGCCTTAGATTGTCTATAGTCGTTCCAACACCATCAAGAGTTGCAGGACTTACATCAACCTGCGATTCAGGTTGACTGGATATCGTGGGTAACCGAAGTATGATTGAAGGCCAGTTGAAATAAACCTTGAAGTGTTCTGCCTATCGATCCGATCTTCTGGATTGACAATGAATGACTGTCCCATCTTTCTCCGAGATAGTCTCACTAACACCCGTTTCCTTGATAAGTCTGAATAGTTGTTTACTGTTACTTATTGTCGCTGCCTTTCCCATCTCTTGCTTTCAATAACCGCCACTGTTTGCCAACATTGCGTGGGCTTTTTATCAGCCAGCGCTTAAGCTGACTCTGCTCCTCATCGCGTTCAGAGCCTGATGGGATGAGTTTCCGGACCTCTTTCAGTTCATTAGATGCTACCGAAACGCACTGTTTCTCCCCTAACCTCACGGTTTAACTTACTGACAGATATCACTGCTCTTTCCACAGCATTCTGGATATAATTCCAAGCTGCATCGGGATGGATATTACTTACATGGTTGCCAAACTGTTTTTCCAGGGGCTCTATCAATTTATACTGGCTTTTTTTTATCGTTAAGCAGAACTCTGAAGGGTTTTATATGAAGAAAGTAAAAAAAAAGTTACAGAATGACTGCTACTAGCTTCTATTCCGAATCATGCCTGATCACTTCTCAAGCCAGAGTTGCACCAGCTCTAGGACTGTAACCGGGGATTCGTAAAAAAGTACTGATATATGCCAGCCCTATAGAGCTTACTTTCATACTTCGATACTATATCATACCTCTCCGCTTTTCCCAACCATTCAAGTTAGTGCTTGAAAAGTTGAAGCTATCTTAATGGCAATTACTTATATACTAGTATTTGGAACTGTTATCGATAATTTACAACAAGCCCTGGAATGAAGACTTTTTCTACTTTGTAAAACAAGAGAAAAAACTATGAGAGTAGCTAAAAGAACTATGGGTATTAAAGCTTTTCATAGTTTTGACAAACGGGTAAGAACATCCATGGTGGTTTTTTTTACCTAGATGTCTGTTTTATTACAATGAATATCAGAAGAAAAATTAGGTAAGAAAACAAAATGCTTGGAAAAATCTGCAAAAACAACAGCCAGAATACAGAGGATAAGTAAAACGGAGTACTGTATTGGTGAAGTAACATACGTATCGCATGAGTTCCAATCATTTTGGTGCACATGATAAACAATGCGATTTATTAGAGTTCGAGCTTATGATCAAGTAAGTTACTAAATCATCACCTTGGTATCAAATTTAACTATACCAAATTCTAATTGATTAGACTGCTGATAAGTAGAATTACTGTGTAACACTTCCTCAGTTCATAGAGATATTTATGGTCATATATACAATACCATTTTCCCTCCATTTAATTTCCAATAAATATCAGGCGACCAAGTCACTAGGTGTTGTCATGAGCCGAATCTATAGGTACAGACGTTGCTGATGGAATTATTCAAACAATCATAACCTTTAACTGGAAATCTTAATTGATCCAATTTTTCAATTGACACAGATGTTTTCAATCACTTTTCTTCCAAATCTTGATTCTTAATATTGTCATATTCTCTAACCCTCAATTTCACCAGTTTATAAAAGAAGAATATTCCGTATTTTGAATTTTTAAACATTATTAATAGTCCTATGATTTTGATTTGTCTGATACTCATCTGGTCAAATTTTTTTAATTTTTTGATGGGTAGTTTGATGTGTTGTAGAAATGATGATTTAAGCCATATCCTACGTTGTGTAAATAAAAACTAGAATCAACACTATGGAAAACATCGACCAACACAATCTTAAGTTTGTTTGATAAATTCGAACTGGAAAGCATACCGAGAGTGATTTTTTAAAAATAACCATTCTAATATTGTTAATACAGAAGAAGTCGATAATCAAAAGTTTAGCAAATGAAACGGATCGGGAATTAATGTATAAGCGAGTGAGAAAATAAAACATAAATAAATTATTTTAGTTACAAAGAATAACTCGTCAGAAATCAATGAGTTATTTCAAAATCTTACCCCCAACACAACTGATTGATAAATTGTGAATCAAAAATTCGGCACATGTTGTTTCTAAAGTTTTGATCTGTAGGCATTTTGACAAGAAGTATACCTGTGGCATTAGTTCTTCAGGTACAGTAAGCCTGGTACAAAATGGAAAAGATTTCAACTAAGAAATTATGATGACAAGAAAAGCAGAAATTAAATGTGATATTGTTGACATACTAGAAAAAACTAGCTACCATCAGTTGATACGGTCACCACTTATGAAAATTATTTCACAGATTATGGAGATAAACCGGACCACTTTTTTAGTATACAAAGATATATTAAAAAATTATTTGCTGGAAATCGGCTTTACAAAAAATAATAAGGGAAAATATGTAAACCAGCCAGCAGAAAAAGGTATATAAGCTTAATGACTGACCTCAGTAAACTTCTAAGGGAATGTGGATGAATCAATTTTGATTTCGGTCTATTACTGTGATAGTTCAAACTGCTAAGACTTTTTACAGAAAGACGAAAACCCAAAAATAAAAAAGACATTACTATAGGTTGACATAATATACACGATTTACAAGTACCAGATCACAAAACTTAACCTCTTGGACAACTGTCAGAATTTGAAGAACCCAGTAGTTACACTACTCTAACTATAAGGTACTGACGCACTACAAACGTTCAGCAGAATAAATGCATTTATTGGCAACAATTTAAGTGAAATAAATAGCACATGCTACATAGATCATTAAAACAGTTGACGCAAATAAACAGCTAACATTCTAAAGGACGGCTTTCTATAAACAGGACTCACCTCAAAGTTAGCATATAATTTAAAACTGCTTCGAAAGCATCCACAGGTGCATCAATAAATACTTTGAGTAAAGACGAAGACTTTGATCTAGTCACTTTCAATATGCAAACATGTGCAGAGGCGTGGTCAATGCCTTTACTCTCTGACTGGAAGCATTTTTTCAGTTCTTCGCTTAACATGGAGATGATTTTCTGGTTTCCGTGATAAATATTCTGACCAACAACAAAAGTAACATCTGCCTTCCCAGTAGAATCAGAATCACATTCAAGTATACCCGATAATTCTTTGCAGAAATAATGGAATATTTTGGCTTTTGATTTTTTGGAAGAAGCCCTTTGAGAGTTGATAGGTGTGCACATATTCAAAGAATAAAATTTACAGTAGGGGAAAGCCTCAATAATTAGGCCCCGGCAGTCAAACAGAATGTGCAATTATCCGAAGTAACAGAATTGCAAAATGAGACACCTTTGTTGATGTTATAGCCACAACTTAACTGTAATAATCAGGGAACAAAAATTAGATTGGACTGAAGAGATAGGCTGATACGATGGACTACGACATCGGCGAGTAACTGTAACTAAGCATGTCAGTATCCACTCACAGATACGGATATGGCTACGCACTTGTAGGTCGAATGAGTGCTACCCTATTGGTGCGCTAGCCACGGAAACAAAGTATTAGGTACTAACCGGCAAGGTTGATTTTCGGTCTCTTATCCCGAAACTTTACTTATTCGATTAATAGCTTTCAGTAATGAATTTTTTTGGATTCACTCTTCTTCATCGTTGAAAGCTGTCACTTCTTTTTACTTTGTACAACAACTAACTTAGACATATCTTTTCATTTTACTGCCATCGAAATATTAAGCTACCTAGGTCACCTGGAGACGGTGATCCACTGATATTAGATGTGTGTGGTTATTAAGGCAAATATTTGTTGGGTAAGAGAAATAAGACTGAACTATATGATGCTATTCATCATGTTCGTTCAACATTTGCCTACGAAAGTGATTATTGGACACTGAATTGTGTACTAGTTTCGTCAAGGTTAATTAACGTAGATGAATTTATCCAAACCAGGCGATGAGGATATCTGACAGTTAATCTCTTCTCGTAAATAGTGCAGTTCAACCAACGTTTTTGATCATATCGTTTTTCTGGTGTAATCTTGCTACGTTATGGAAGCATGATATCTCGGTTTTCAGGTAGGGTATGCCAGATCAAGCATTCATCGCATAGTGTAATCTAGATGTAAAACCACCCACCTTAAGTACTCATACCATCCTCGTTCCACTCTCATGCATTATGTTGGTTAAATGGGTGAAATAAGCATGCGAATCCAAAATAATAATCGCTCAACATCTACAGTATACTATTTTTCGCACAGAGCTAACTGAATTTATTAATCCTTAAAATACAAGGCGATAAATATTCTTCTAAAACGAATAGGTCCGTAAGTTTTCACCATCAATTCCTACTGGAAAGACTATAGCTCACAATTCATGACCAAACATACGCTCCGGATCATGATATGCCACATCGTGCTAAGCAACAATCGTAAAAACTAATTATGTTTGATCACATACTTCTCAAAACACCGGCTAGCTTCTAAATATATTCCTATAACCTGTCAAACATGACATTTAGTTTGACTGAGTCTAAGATGTTCAATCATTAAATCATTACGGACAACAGCATTATCAGGTATCAAATATCCATTTCCTCTTTAATGGAAAGACTGATATCAACGCTCGTAACAAAAGCTGAAAGAAACCTTGACTAAATATAGGAGTCATCAATCAAGTTAAAAGACGAGACAATATGTTCCACAGATGTTTTTCCAGTAGTGTGCCGCGACGAAACTGAAAAAAGGAGGAGGTGAGAAGAGGCGAAGAAGTAAGAATAATATTGCTCATGGCTAGTGAGACTGAGTCATATGTGATAGAAAAATTAAAATTAGATTATTTAAACATGTTTTTTTATTTCAGACCACATGTTTTGAATGAAGGCAAATTAACAGAGCTGAACAGGTGAACATTATTTAGATCCCCAAACTGCTGTACAGTGGAACAGCATTTATTTACACCATATAATATCTTTGTATTGCAATGACAGTCATAAATCATTATTATTACATTTATAAACTGTTAGTCGTAATTGTCATGTTTTGCGCCTTATAGGGGCTTCAGTACCTCCCTTTCTGATATTAGGATCTTACTTTTCTGATGTTTTAATAGTGCGTTATTAGAGGCATAATGTTTCAAACCTCATTGAAACACACTGATTTTGTTACTTCAATATTACCAACAGACTAGATAGGAAAGCTTCTGTGCTGTGAGTTAGATATCAGTTTAGTGTATCACACTGCTATGAAGTAAATCAATGGTATTAATGACAACATAATGGTCAGATAATATGCATCTTGGAGGTGGAAACAAAGACAGCTGGTCAGAAAATATGCAGTAAATAGTATAAGGAGGTAAAATGTATGAATAAAGCGTCAAGTATGTAAGGAAACTTAATATCTGAATTCTGATAAATTTTGAATATCAAATGTACAAAAACGGTGGGACACGAGCTGAAGAGATCGCACCATACTTTAAAATATTGTAGTAGCGATTGAGTCGCAATTGACTATAATCACACTACAGCAATTACGAGACCGTAACTGAGAAGAAGGGTTATTCCATACGAAAGAATATATTTGCTGGCGATTTTGTGGTGTCGAAAGAATACCGAACTCATGCCAGAAAAGTGGGTCGAAATAACAGAGATGGCGGAGTAAAAAATCGCGGCAACGCAAACGGAGGTTTTTGTGTAAAGAGTGTAATAGACAAAATGTACAGCCAAATAACCACTGGTAAAAGTGGTTATAATAATAAAAGTGGATTTACTACAATATTAAAAGTTTATTATGACGACAAATTACCTTTTTATTTGAAGTGGAAATTCAAACGCGACATGGAAGTTAATGAAAAAAAGGGCACAACTTTAAGTTTCCTTAGATAAAAAATTTGCGGGCTCCTTTGCCAATTAACCCAGTCTTCGGAAATTATGCAATGTGATGTCAGAGGAGTACTATGAGGTTCTGAAGAAGAGAAATACAGAAGAAGTAGTGGGGAGAAAAACAGAAAATTTTCTCGTTTAAAGCTGAATCATGACTTTTTGATCGAAAAAAGGTATGATTATTCAGACCTTTCTTTTGCTGTGTTAGAACACAAAATTTACACACGCACTGATGTAAGTTAGTGAAGATAAGTCACTTGTAAGGTGACAAATAGATGGAAAACTTTAGAAATTACGTTGATTTACAGAGAGAAAAAATGAAGACGTCGTGATATGATGCTCTTGCGCTGTTACACTTACGTTTGTTTCTAGAGCAGTAGCACAAGAAGTAATGAGTTAGCTCCTTTTCACACCATTTGTCAAAATCCATTTGTAATAGGATTTCTTCATAGGAACTGAAACCAGCTCATGGTTACAAATGTAAGCCGAAGACGTGGTTGGAATTGTAAAAAAACCTCAATACCTTTGATTATTTTAAATATCGATTTGAGTCTTAGCTCTATATTCGTGTACAACTTGTTGGGATGCATTTTCTCTACTGGCTACACGGTACAGGCAAACTAGACAACATTGGCTCCTGTACGTTAGACTAACTATCTAGGTAGCGTATCACCCTGCGGTTAAGTTAACTAGAAGTATAAATTGAAAGGTACTTACTTACTTACTTACTTTCGCCTGTTACCCCCAATGGAGCATAGGCCGCCCACCAGTTTTCTCCAACCAACTCTGTCCTGGGCTTCCCTCTCCAGTTCTGTCCAATGTTTGTTCATTCCTCTCATATCTTTCTCTATTTCTCGGCGTAGTGTGTTCCTTGGCCTTCCTCTTTTCCTTTGGCCTTGAGGGTTCCATGTGAGGGCTTGTCTAGTGACGCAGTTGGGTGCTTTTCGTAGTGTATGTCCTATCCACTTCCACCGCTTCTTCCTGATTTGCTCCTCCATTGGAATCTGACTTGTTCTCTCCCACAGTTCGTTGTTGCTGATGGTGTCTGGCCAACGAATACGAAGTATTTTGCGTAGACAACTGTTAATAAACACTTGTATCTTCTGGATGATGGCTTTGGTAGTTCTCCATGTTTCCGCCCCATACAGTAGATAAATTGAAAGGTATCGGTCAGTTAATAGGTGGTAGTTTAGAGATATGAAGGATAGGTAGCTGACGAAGGAAAATGAGGGAAAATAGTAATGAATACTCACTATCAAGTAGGAAGATAGTTAAGAATTCAAGGTGTTTGTATGTTAATTAATTGAGGGAATAGAAATTTATAAAACTGCTATTCCATGAACATGAAGGAACTCACAATGATACAGGAAGTATGAGTTCCTTTTGATCGACAGTAGTTGCGCGGCGATTACGGGCTTTTAAATTTATCTGTCTACTAGAAATGAAAAAAAAGCTATGGTAGGTAAGAAGACAAGGATGTGAATTTGAACTCCGAATGCTACGAGTTGCATCTGTGAGCGTGATCTGCTGCTGATAGTAGGAGTGTGGGAATTGGTCAGTCACTACGTTATTCCTGTATGATTGGTAATGAGGTTCAATGTTTTCGTAGGCTGTTATTAGTTTCTAAGTTTGTTCTTGTACCATGTCGAGTCAAAATCGACTATGATCACAACTAAAGACCAACTACGTGACGATTTCCAGGTAAGATACCTCCGTACGATCGAAAAAAGGGCGAAGATTGGGCCGAGATATGAATGTGAATTTGTTGGCGATCTCGTGGTATCGAAACGATACTGAACTCGTGTCAAGATGTGGAGGCGAGACCACCCTGCAAACGTGAACAAGCTGAAGTTCACAGAAAACAGAAAGTGTAATTGTTACAAATAAACTAATGTTGCCGTGTGATAATCACTGATATATTTGGTTATAATAATAAATGTTTCTAAAACGCGGAACGCGTTCTGTTCACAAAAGTAGATCTCTACAATCTAAATATTTGGTGGACCATCCAAGAGCGTCTCGGGAATAATTGAGTCTAACAATAGCATTACTAGTTTATTGAACCTGGTGATCGCGTCACAGATACGCATAGAAATAGGTAATTTATTCCACAATAAACTGTATCATGTTACAAACAAATTACAACTAAATGAGGTGTTGTGTTTCGCCTATTTGAAACAGTAGGGATTGTTACGGTGTTGAATTTCCGACCGAACTTTGATCGATCTTGGTTGGTATCTGGGCATCCTATAAGGATTGGCTCGGTGAAGCCTTTATGAAACATGTATATATAAAACAGATAGAATGTTGCTAGCAATCAACTTCAGGATGCACAAATTATTCTATTAGTGGATAGGCGTACATCAATCTCAGAAATATTCACTTCGAGAAATGAACCCAGTTCACTTTACATCAAGATCATCCGGGTTTCCATAATCAGCCACATTTTTCTATCACATATGAATTTTGAACGTATTGGTGATTAGCGATTTAAAGGTAGTAGCATATATGTAATGTTTCTGAGTGTTTAGGCTGGGATCTGCTTCATTTATGTGGAAATTGTTAGGGATGAGATGCCATCTCTCTTATTTTGTAGAAAAATATTAGACTAATCTTTAGTAGATGGTGCCATCTAGAGTCTGATCTTAGATCCTCGTGTTTAGCTGTATGATGGAGAGCATGATCTCATCTTAACAAACGATGCTTCAGGCTTTTTGTGGTGTTGCTATCTGAAAAGATTAATGGGCATCATTCAAGGGATGCTCCTACACACATTTCGAAGATGTTAAGCTTAGCTTCGTTTGTATAGAAGTTGCTATTTATGAATCCTATTGGCCGCCCAGATTCAGAAGCTGAAAAGGCAGGTTCATTGAGTTTCAGGCTTCCTGAGTATTGGATACTCATATCGTGCACTGTTATGGGTATTTGAATCACAATTTATTTCTGTAAAATGGTATTTCATGGAGTTGTTCCACACAGTTCATGATCCAACCATTGATGTTGTTAAATGGTAATTATCTCGTTTATGTCCAGTTAGACAGTTTGTCAGGGTCACTTTAAATCTGGTCTATAATTCCATGTATCTAGAAGCATCAAGGCAGAAACTCTTCGCGAAACTGTTCTTAATGAAGCTCCTGATTGTAAATTTATAGATGTATACCGCCTTTATCATAATATACTAACTGGGTGTATTCATCTAGCTCCAAATGCTCATCCATAGATTGACATTACTATTAGTGAGTCTTTTGTTTGCATACGTTTGATATGTCTGTGGAAGATATTTGTGATAACTTCACCTCCACTACAATCACTGGACAGACCATACTTCGGGTTCCCACTCGCGCTTTCGAAAGCCATACCTAGTCTGAGAGAGCATTTATGATTGCAGCAGTAATATGAACTTGAATACAAAGAAACAGCGAGCTATCTTACCTAGAACTGCACTAGATTTTGCAGTTGATTTCCTTGTCGAAGATCGATTGTGGGCCTTAAAGCAAGCAGTTCCCAAACAGCAGCCCTCTGCACCCTTTAGATTCTCTGCAATGCATCCAATCCAAAATAATAACGATCTTTTTAACACAGCGACTAGTAATGCGTTGATTAGGAATGCCTCCAGTCACTAATCACGCAGTCCGACTCCACAATGTGCTTTACTGGTAATGACCTCTGTGAAACTGTACACACAGTTAGTATAACCACTAAGTCCACTCTAGGCACTACTATCCCCTCAGAAACGTCCTTCAAAGCAACGACTCCTTATGTCAACCAAAAAACCAAGGATACGCTACAAGAACAAAAACGGCCGTGTCGTAAATCAAAAAAATTTCATTACCTTGCATCAAGCATATCCTATCAGCATGAAAGACGTTAACAAAGAGAATGCAATGCACACTCAATTTTACTCCTTCAAAACACATATCTTGCGTTTTTCCCTCTTCAGTTTATCTAGTGCTCTCTTAAATCTATCAGGTAGTATGTTCAGTAATCGCACTGCTACGTCTTACAATATAACAACTGGAAAAACTAGTAGAGGCATAGATTCCGGGGTTACTAATGAGTCGAATATTCCATTAAAGAGCGGCAGATTAATGAAAAAACTTGAAACGTCTCTCGATAATGAACCTCGGAGCAACGTGTATGATTAGGATCGCGCCAGTGACTTTACCGAACCTAGACCGTACCGTGGGTTCACGTGGAACTACGTGGAGTCGTAGTTCTGGTACATTTGTACTCAGTGCAGAAGAACGGAGACAAAAGTCATAGCGTTAGCAAAGCTTCGAGTCAACAGAAAACAAACCTATGAATCCTTACAAAAAGACCGAAGTCATACATGAAACCCAAAAAAAAGGCAACGACGGTAACCGCAACCCGAACCAATACATCTACAAAACTGCCGGTTATCGCAAACTCCCCAGTATCCCTATGTAATGGAGCAGTGGGTAGACATAGGAAAGGGAAATGGCAACATCAGAGCTCAAAAAATGGTACAAGTTAGCGACAGGGACATTAGATAACATTCCTTAATTTAATTTAATGTTCCAGTGTTAGAGGATAGCTTACTGGAAAGTAGAGCTGTGTTTATTGAAAAAAGCTAGAAATGTACTGCGCAATTTTTGGAATCTGCAGTAGCCCGGCCAAACTATGCCAAACTATGTCCAAGGGCCGAAATGTTGCGAAGCTGAAATTTCTTCTTTTAGGCCAGGTTTAGACTCCGAAAAAACTATAAAGACTGCTGGAACCAAAAATGAAGGTCCGTGTAATATTCCTTCATTTCATGCTTGACGTTAAGTGGGAAGGTTGTGAAACTTCGTGTCACTTATCCTCTCCTATATTGGCTCCGAAATTATTTTTGGAAAAAAAGAGTACATGCGAGATGGCGTGTCGCACTATCAATGACCACAGGCACTTTCGGTGTATAACTTCAAGCGAAAATTTAGCATTCACGTACGCACATACCGATTGTCATCTCTAGTTGTGAACAGCTGAGTCTGATGCATGTCTGGAAAATTCACTTGCCGTTACCATTATCACTTCCTTAGGTTACTGGGCTAATATATTTCGCTTATTATCTCGGTTTCCTATTCGTCACTTATAATTCTGCTCTCTCACTGCAAACCAAAATGCCACTCCTGGGGTTTGATCAAATACTCTTAGCTGCAGATTTCAATACCCCATCTCTAAATCCCAGCAATCAGAGTACAACTCCCACTGGTTGATTTCAAAGACGAATTGGAACAGCCATTAGAAGCTCTGAGCTGACTAAGCATGTTTGCAGTGCCACTAGATGGACTAGGAAAGAAAAGTCCTCAAACCTGGATTACTTTTAATAAATGATCAGCTGCTGCTTGAGGATGTTCACGTCCTCGCACCAATAGGTAGTAGTGACCAGGGCACAGTCTTGTTTAACATGATCATAAACGAAACACTCACACGGGACGATGACGAGCCATATCTCTGCTAAAATAGTGTAAATTATACGCATATGAGAGAGGTCCTCCTACAAGCCTCATGGCCACGGGAGTGGTGGAGGCTGACAGTGAGGGATATCATCCAAAAGGCTATCGTTGACAATGTAACTCAGTCACGCCACACACCCGGGAATAGAAGAACCTGGGTTCGGCGCGGCACTGAACTCTTTCTACAGGCGAAGAGGAGAGCTTGGCACAAGTGGAAAGTCGCCTCGAAGGATTCCGATCGCAGTTCTTACTTAGCGTTGAGAAACAGATGCAATACAAAAGTTCGAAGTGACAGGAGACAATTTCAGATGAAGCTAGCTGCCAAAATACAGGCAAACCCGAAGTATCTGGTTAGGTTCATGTCCGAAAGAAAACTTACAAATCAAGTGATGTGTTCTCTCAAAGGACCCAACGGGGAAGACCTCAATAACCTAAAGATGGCTGAGATCTTCAACACTAACTTTTCTGAGCAGTTAAACCAGGCATCCACATGTTTAGAGTACTACGCAAACCCGTTGCCAGCTGACGGCTTAGAGAACATCCGTATCACTCCTGACTTAGTACTAAGGAAACTAACATATTTACGCCCAGGTAAGTCAGTCTACAGTGTGAATTTTTTGGTGCTGCTCTATCGGATCGGAATTAAAAGAAAGAGAGAAACGATGTAGGACTTTGCACAAATATTTATATTTTCAAATTATCGCCTTTTATATTTATGTAGCAAAGGAAGATTGAATAACGAGAATAAGATGTGACCGATACTGAAAGGACATGATGCTTGAAAAATAATAACAACAAATGAGGTCAAGTAGTAAAGAAACATAGTGCAGTAAATTGTCCACAGATTTATAATCAAAATCCCTAGTTTTTGAAGGCACAGACAAGCTGTTATTAAGTACCATTGCACCACAGATCTATGCAAATCGGCTTTATATAGAAATAACATATCTTGATATCTTTTTCAAATATACTAATACGTCAGCCATTGTAGGTCACTCACGGTTTTAAATGGCAGTCGTGGGTAGCACGTGTCGTCAACTTCTTAATCAAATGAAGTTAACAACTATGCCAATTTATTTCTTATTTTTACATTAAACTTTCACATATACAATGGATGAATTAAAATGATCTCTTTCTGTGGTATACTAAGATAATATAGTGATAGAATTGGACTTGGCAATCGAGCTCTTATTGAATACTCAAAAAATCCTCTGTGCTCATACTATACCACGTTCTATCATATGTCCGGTTCACGACCAAAATTAATGTGCAGTAGATCTAGACAATACTTTATTTCGTACAATTACAAACAGTCACTCAGTGAGTACGCAGTAAAAGTCACATTTATAGTAACCAATTATCTGTTTTCCTATTTGTTACTGTCTAACCGCATTTGTTCTCTATATCATTATCATTAATCATCATTAATTACTCAGTGGTTCCCTGTACATCAGTAATACTTCGAAGACAGTACTTCATTACTTGCAAATCATTTATGTCCTCTGCTTTTAGAGTGTTTTTCGCACATATGAGTTATGCTAATTGAACTTCTTTTCAGTAGATAAATGAGTATTTTGCCTGTGTCATGGATAACAAGTTGAATACACCTGAACGAACTCTTCATAATTGTTCTGAGTGATTATGAGTCACTAATTTAAGACGTTTTGAAGTAAGGGATGTAGTCAACAGACTCAATTAATTTGCTTCTAACTCAAACTGGTTAGTGATTCAGTAGCTTACATTTGAGTTCAGTAAATGTATCATCACTGCATAATAGAAAGCGATCTATTATTACAAAGGATGTGGTTTTCTACTACTTTACGCTTTGTTTTTTCATGCAAATGAAATGTTTCTTTGATTGAAACTTAGACCATTTTTCATAGTACTTTCATTACTGTGTTGCTTATTACAAGAAGTCGATTTATATTCACTGCTGTCATGTTGCGTAGTTTATTTTTATAATAGTACGTCAAAAATTGAAAATATTAACTTAAAAAATTTACATATCAAGTATACTAGATAAAGATACACAGTCACTGCTGTCAGATGTCATTCCAGGTGAATGTACGTAACAATCCATGTTTTCGTAATAATTAGGTCCAGTTTTTGGTTGAAGTTCTCTCATCTTCCTGGTCCTGTGATTTTCATAATCTTCTTTATATGTTTTTTGTTCCCTATATCATTGTAATGGAAATCATTGATGTTAACTTACAAAATGATTCAATTCTTCATACTTTTAAATTTATAAGAAATTACGAAATTTCACCTAGTATCTTTTGATTGCGTAACAACGATTACGAAATATTATTTTTGTATCTTATTGAGAAATGTGCTCTACTGAAAAGGACTTAATTTCTAAGAGCTGTATAATTCTTCAAACATATTCAGTTAACAAAAAGCATCCGTATACAAAATTCCAATGTAGAACTATATTTATCTGCATGTTCTCCTCAGTCAGATAGTACTGTTTCCACTTATGATTAAATTGTTATTCTGGTAGTCATGTGAGTGATTGTGGTAAGATAGGTTTTTTTGAATAATTTACCTTGTCTTTTATATTTACAACACTGTTTAGTTTTTCTGTCGCTACTTTCATGTCGTGACTTGCAACACTTCCATGTTCAGCAAACAGTTAGTTTTTGTGTATATGATATGCTTACAAAACCTATCACTACGTTGTATCCTGAAGTTGTTTTACTCTTCTTGAATTTTCTCATAGGAATCAGTTTTCACCATTGTATAATAATGTGTTTACAACTTCCCTATCCATTCTAATGTATCAAAACTTTTAGTTCAATATATCTCCAGAAACTCAACCAAAAGGCTACATATTTTAACATTATTATAAATTTAAATCTGCAGGTTTATTTACTAGGTCTTTATTCGCAAGGATTAGACAGTGATCTTTGGATTATGTTGCACTTAATTAAACTAGCGCGTCCTCCATCTTAATTTAAGTGATTCAGGTTTATTGAGAAATTTATGAATTAGAAGGAACTTCAAGTGTTCTTTAAAGTACCACATCGATTTTCCTCGTAAATTATCCGTTAAACATCTACCTTATAGGATATAACAAAGACAATAATTTTCTCAATTATAAGCCTCATGTCTAGTCCAGCGTCGTTCTTTTCACAAGAGAAAATAATTCATCCCTTTGTTAATCTGCAAAGAATCCCTCTGGTGTCAACAAAATTGAATGATTTGGCAACATTCAGTCAGTTTTTGTGTTAATTTTTTTACTCCTCCTAACTCATCGTTAAGTTGTCAACATACCGAAAATCATTTGTCAACCTTGGTACAGATCGAATGTTAGGCTTTCTTGCAGCATTCGAAAGAGGTGTCCGGAACTTCATATGTATAGAGTGTGTGGATCCTGTGCTAGAAAACTTTAAGTAGGTTAAAGAAAAGAAGCCTATGGTACCGTGTAATTATTGGGGCCAAGTGTTGACTGTTTCTTATTTAGAGTTGAAATTTCATTACTGTACATATTTCCACGAGATCTAAATTCAATTCGATTGCCTAGAATGTTCATTTGTTTGCTACAGAAACACTAACTGCTTTCTTTTAAAGATCTGAAATTATTTCGTAGAAGCACAACTGCGTGTTTTAATTCGTCATGAGATGAAGTAGGTAAACGATCACACTTGCTAGCTTCATCAGCTATAGAATTGACTTTCGAAAAAATTCTAAAGATTTATTTGAAAGAAGTTTTACCTGTCTAAACTTTGAGTAATAGAAAGGGGAAATTTTTTTATTTTCTCCGAGAAAGCATTTAAGTACTAAGCGACCTGTTATGAGAGTGAGTGCACATACATTTTGTTTATCGACAATATTATTCTTCTCATTAACCAGTTGTTTCACTGACTCTGATGTGGTTTTAATTACATTGTTGTTCAGATTTACACCGATTATTTTTTCCGAACTATTTATCTAAAAATGGTACGGTAAATCATGTCATCATATCATATCTACCTTGTTCATTAGATAATCAGTGGTCTCGTTTATATCGCTTAGCAGATTGCTGATAATGACATCCATTAATGATTGACGAAATGTTTACCTTAGTTTTAACTCATCCATATGTTCGTCATCTTTATCTGTGATTAAGTTTGTGTCTTCACGGTCAGGATGCTTCCAGATATTCCGGAGTGAAGTCCAGAAAGCTGAATTCTTAAGAATTTTACCTGTTTATTTATTGGTGTAGAACTTACATATTCTGAGTAACTTTGATTCACGTGGTTTTCAAATTCATCTTTAGACTGATGCATGTTGCTATTGAGCTGTAAACTGAAATCATGTGAATTTTGATGGTTTTGAATATCATCTAAATTAATACTAAGACATCATTAGTTTGTGTTCAGAGTTAAATTACTCCAATAATTTCCGCTGTATACCGGTTTGCGGAATCTTAAATGACATTTCCTTTGGTTGACCGTATGACTTATGTAATTATTACGAATGTAGTGTAGATAAACAACATACTAACACCCAGTTCGGACATTTCCTGAATATCTTTTTCTAGGGTTAAAATACACCAGTTGATTACTTTGCGCTCTTCTATTGTTGTTTCCATGCGGTTCCAGGTATCTAGCAATTTTCGGTGGGTGGTGATCTAGTCACTCGACTGCACTATTTCCAATCAGTTGGCAATTATTTATGAATTTGTATATTACGTGATTTGAGTGTGTTTGTCTCAAGGATGTATGTTTTCGAAACATCAACAGCTATAACATTAACAAACTAAAGATCATTTAGTTGCAGTGTTGAGGGGAATTCTAATTCTAGGGAGAGGACAGATATCCGATAACTTTTACACGAGCTAGTGTAAACCGGTGAGCTAACTGAGCCTAACAGGTCGTTAATAAATATCAGGAAGAGAAGTGAGCCTAAGACGGTCCCCTGTGAAACACCCGATGTGGATACTCGCCAACTCGCGTGCACTTTGTTTTCCTTGGTGCGAAACTTTATATTCTCAAAGTGGTTTCTGAGCCAAGATACGAGTGGGTCAGTGAAGCCCATTTCCACAACCTTTTCGATTAGGCGTGCGTGGGGTACTGTGTCAAACGCTTTTGAAAGGTAGAGAAATATTACGTGTACCGGTCCAAACCGGATTTCCTACTGTTCCATGAGATGAGAAGATTAGATGCACATGACCTGAATTTCCGAGACCCGTGTTCAGCTTCATGCAGTATTTTGTTCTTATCCATGTACTCCCTCATTCGTTCGTCCACTAGCCCTTCCATTACCTTTGATCATATTGGTAGTAATGCGACTGGTTCGTAACAGGCTGGGTCCTTTGAAGATTGGTGAGAGGGTAGCATGTTTCCATTCAGCTGGAAATTGCTGTGAGTCCAGAGAATGCCTGAACAGGTTTGCGATAACCGGCAGTTGTGTAGATGTATTGGTTCGGGTTGCAGTTACCGTCGTTGCCTGTTTTTTGGGTTTCTTGCTGTATGACTTCGGTCTTCTTGTAAGGATTCATAGGTTTGTTTTCTGTTGACTCGAAGCTTTGCTAACGCTATGACTTTTGTCTCCGTTCTTCTGCATTGAGTACAAATGTACCAGAACTACGAACTGTGTTGACTACACGTGAACCCACGGTACGGTCTAGGTTCGGTAAAGTCACTGGCGCGATCCTAATCATACACGTTACTCCGAGGTTCATTATTGAGAGACGTTTCAGGTTTTTTTCATCAGTCTGCCGCTCTTTAATGGAATATTCGACTCAATAATAACCCCGGAATCTATGCCTGTTCTAGTTTTTCCAGTTGTCGTATTGTAAGACGTAGCAGTACGATTACTGAACATATTATCTGATATATTTAAGAGAGCACTAGATAAATTGAAGAGGGAAAAACGCAAGATATGTGTTTTGAAGGAGTAAAATTGAGTGTGTTTGTTAACGTCTTTCATCCTGATAGGATATGCTTGATGCAAGGTACTGAAATTTTTTTGATATACGACACGGCCTTTTTTGTTCTTGTAGCGTATCCTTGATTTTTTGGTTGACATAAGGAGTCGTTGTTTTGAAGGACGTTTTTGAGGGGATAGTAGTGCCTAGAGTGGTCTTAGTGGTTATACTGACTGTGTGTACAGTTTCACAGAGGTCATTACTAGTAAAGCACATTGTCGAGTCGGACTGCGTGATTAGTGACTGGAGGCATTCCTAATCAACGCATTACTAGTCGCTGTCGCTGTTAAAAAGACGTTATTATTTTGGACTGGATGCATTTTGCAAGAATCTAAAGGGTGCAGAGGGCTGCAGTTGGGAAACTTTCTTCAGGCCCACAATGATCTTGACGAGGAATCACTACAAAATATCAGTTCTAGGATGCTGCTGTTTCTTGTATTCAAGTTCATATTACTGCTGTTAATCATAAATGCCTCTGAGACTAGGTATGCTTTCGAAGCGCAGTGGACCGAAGTATGTCTGTCAGTTGATTGTAGGGAGGTTGAAGTTATCACAAATATTTTCACAGACACATCAAACGTATGCAAACAAAAGACTCACTAATAGCAATGTCAATCTATGGATGAGCATTTGGAGCTCGATGAATACACCCAATTAGTATATTATGATAAAGGCGGTATACATCTATCCATTTACAATCAGGAGCTTCATTAAGAACAGTTTCGCGAAGAGTTTCTGCCTTGATGCTTCTAGATACATGGAATTATAGACCAGATTCAACGTAACCCTGACAAACTGTCTAACTGGACATAAACGAGATAATTACCATTTAACAACATCAATGGTTGGATCATAAACTGTGTGGAACAACTCCATGAAATACCATTTTACTGAAATAAATTGTGATTCAGATACCCATAACAGTGCACGATATGAGTATCCAATACTCAGGAAACCTGAAACTCAATGAACCTGCCTTTTCAGCTTCTGAATCTGGGCGGCCAATAGGATTCATAAATAGCAACTTCTATACAAACGAAGCTAAGCTTAACATCTTCGAAATGTGTGTAAGACCATCCCTTGAATGATGCCCATTAATCTTTTCAGATAGCAATACCACAAAAAGCCTCAAGCATCGTTTGTTAAGATGAGATCATGCTCTCCATCATACAGCTAAACACGAGGATCTAAGATCAGAGTCTAGATGGCACCATCTACTAAAGATTAGTCTAATATTTTTCTACAAAATAAGAGAGATGGCATCTCATCCCTAACGATTCCCACATAAATGAAGCAGATCCCAGCCTAAACACTCAGAAACATTACATATATGCTACTACCTTTCAATCGCTTATCACCAGTACGTTCAAAATTCATATGTGATAGAAATATGTGGCTGATTATGGAAACCCGGATGATCTTGATGTAAACTGAACTGGGTTCATTTCTCGAAGTGAATATTTCTGAGATTGATGTACGCCTATCCACTAATGGAATGATTTGTGCATCCTGAAGTTGATTGCTAGCAACATTCTATCTGTTTCATATATACATGTTTCATAAAGGCTTCACTGAGCCAATCCTTATAGGATGCCTAGATACCAACCAAGATCGATCAAAGTTCGGTCGGAAATTCAACACCGTAACAATCCCTAATGTTTCTAACAGGCGAAACACAACACCTCATTTAGTTGTAATTTGTTTGTAACATGATACAGTTCATTGTGGAATAAATTACCTATTTCTATGTGTATCTGTGACGCGATCACCAGGTTCAATAAACTAGTAATGCTGTTGTTAGACTCAATTATTCCCGAGACGCTCTTGGATGGTCCACCAAAAATTTAGATTGTAGAGATCTACTTTTGTGAACAGAACACATTCCGCGTTTTAGAAACATTTATTATTATAACCAAATATATCTGTGATTATCACACGGCAACATTAGTTTATTTGTAACAATAACACTTTCTGTTTTCTGTGAACTTGAGCTTGTTCACGTTCGCAGGGTGGTCTCGCCTCCACATCTTGACACGAGTTCAGTATCGTTTTGATACCATGAGATCGCCAACAAATTTACATTCACCTCTCGGCCCAATCTTCGCCCTTTTTTCGATCGTACGGAGGGATCTTACCTGGAAACCGTCACGTAGTTGGTCTTTAGTTGTGATCATAGTCGATTTCGACTCGGCACGGTACAAGAACAACCTTAGAAACTAATAACAGCCTACGAAAACATTGCACCTCATTACCAATCATAAAGGTATCACGTAGTGATTGACCAATTTCCACACTCCTACTAACAGCAGCAGATCATGCTCACAGATGCAACTCGTAGCATTCGGAGTTAAAATTCTGATCCTTGTCTTCTTACTTATCATAGCTCTTTTTCATTTCTAGTAGACAGATAAATTGAAAAGCCCGTGGATGAAGCGCAACAACTGTCGATCAAAAGGAACTCAGACTTCCTGTATCATTGTGAGTTCCTTCATGTTCATGGAATAACAGTTTTATAAACTTCTATTCCTTCAATTAATTAACATACAAACACCTTGCATTCTTAACTATCTACCACCTTGCTAGTGAGTATTCAATACTATTTTCCCTCATTTTCCTTCGTCAGCTACCTATCCTTCATATCTCCAAACTACCACCTATTAACTGACCGATACCTTTCAATTTATACTTCTAGTTAATTTAACCGCAGGGTGATACGCTACCTGGATATTTAGTCTAAAATACAGAAGCCAATGTTGTCTAGTTTGCCTGTACCGTGTAGCCAATAGAGAAAATGTATCCCAAAAAGTTGTACACGAAATGGAGCTAAGACTCAAATTGATACTTAAAATAATCAATGACATTGAGGTTTTTTACAGTTCCAACCATGTCTTCGGCTTATATTTGTAACCATGAGCTGGTTTCAGTTTCTATCAAGAAATCCTATTACTAATGGATTTCGACAAATGGCGTGAAAAAGAGCTAACTCATTACTTCTTGTGCTAATGCTGTAGAAACAAACGTAAGTGAAACAGCGCAAGAGCATCATATCACTACGTCTTCATCTTTTCACTCTGTAAATCAACGTGATTTCTAAAGTTTTCCATCTATTTGTAACCTTACAAGTGACTTATCTTCACTAACTTACATTAGTGCATGTGTAAATTTTGTGTTCTAACACAGAAAAAGAAAGGTCTGAATAATCATACCTTTTTTCGATCCAAAAAGTCATGACTAAGCTTTAAACGAGAAAATTTTCAGTTTTTCTCCCCACTACTTCTTCTGTATTTCTCTTCTTCAGAACCTCATAGTACTCCCCTGACATCACATTGAATGATAGCCGAAGACTGCGTTAACTGGCAAAGGAGCCCGCAAATTTCTTATAGTAATTTGCCATCCTAATAAACTCATAATATTGTAGTAATTTCACTTTTATGAAGGGAACGTGGTTGGTTTAATTAAAACATTTATTATTATAACCACTTGTACCAGTGGTTGTGTTATTGTACACACAAACCTCCGTTCGCGTTGCTGCCATTTT